GTTATTATAATCATGGTCGTAGTTATTATAATCCTGGTCGTAGATTATTTATAATCATGGTCGTAGTTGTTATAATCATGGTCGTGGTTGTTATAATCATGGTCGTGGTTGTTATAATCATGGTCGTGTTTATTATAATCATGGTCGTGATTGTTATAATCATGGTCGTGGTTGTTATAATCATAGTAGTGGTTGTTATAATCATAGTCGTGTTGTTATAATCATTATGGTCGTGGTTGTTATGATCATAGTCGTGGTTGTTATGATCATAGTCGTGGTTGTTATAATCATGGTCCTGGTTGTTATAATCATGGTCCTGGTTGTTATAATCATGGTCCTGGTTGTTATAATCATGGTCGTGATTGTTACAATATGGGTCGTACCTGAGACTAACACAGGTAGAATAAACCCCACACCTTATCTTTAATCTCAATAAACACAGATTAACCTCACCTAATCAACAGGATGAGAGACCATTAGGATTGTACCACCAATACCCATACATTTCACACTGGATTAATAACAAAACATTTAATCACATTTTCAATAGCTTATGTCAGACGGATATCTTATCAAGTTGTGAGTCTTACATGTCCATATAATTATTTTTTATTCTTACAAATATTTATAGTTCGTTGTGTATTGTATGGCATTGTATGGTATTGTACTGTATTGTATCCGGCTGACAGTTTACAAAGAATGAGGGTGCGGCTAGTCCGTAGACTTGCATGGTTAATTAGGGTCCATCGTTTTCCATCGTAAATAAAATGGTTAATTAATGGCTTCCTAAAGAAACCATCGACATGAGACCAGGTGTGTTCCAATCTACGAATTTTCCACCAAGTTTGATGAAAAACGATTGTGTCGTTTCGGCTGCACAGACAGACAAACAGACAGACAGACATACATTCGGATAGCGCTTTAGTATATTAGATTGTATGATTTGTTTATTATTAGAAATGTGCAAATTTACATTCAGTTATAAGTTTTACAAATCTAAAATGCTGAGGGTGCATTCAGTTTCTCTGCTGTTCACTGGGTCTGAGTACCCGCCCTGTGGTTCAATTTTCACTTGACAGTCAAACCCGAATTTTCGCGGGTGGGCCCCAGTTGTCATCACTCTGAATTCGGATTTGGAATTTGTTATTCATCAACCAGCATTATATAGGCAACGTTGTAAGTATATGTACGATTAATATAATGATTTATAATACATTATTATCAAGATCATTATTTTCACTATTTTTATTTTATTTTGTACATTACGGGTTGTTTGTTTAATGACAGCAGTTTATAATTTATTTAAGTGTATAGTTTAGAAAGGTTCAGAATTGTCACAATTAGGATTCATCTGTTAGCAGTTTCTGTAATGTGCCTCATTATTTCAGGACGGAACCTATCTGCAAAAATGGTTCTTAGGCATGCTTTTTTTTTACTGACTTAAAAACCAGTTAGGTTAGGTTAGGTTAGGTTTTGCATAAACTATTCCATTATATGCATTTTGATGATATGCTTATTCGTTTGTGGCCAGCCAGACAGTGGTTGTGGTGTGAAGGAGAATGCCAGGAGTTATTGATTGTTCACATTGGCGATATTTTATGATTGAGTACTGACTCAGTCGTAAGAGAAAGGTTAACAGTAGTAACAGCATGAGATGGTTTTGTTTATTTACCATCAGGTGTTGGTAACAGGAGGACTCCTCCACACAACCCAGCAGCCACCAACAACACCAGGGACGTCACTACCATCACCGCCTCTCTAATATAACTGGAAGTAAAGTATATGAATGGATGGAAACTTTGGTTCTACAAATACCTGAACTTCTTGCTCTTCTAGTTCAACATATTAATATCCGATACAGTATATATATATATATATATATATATATATATATATATATATATATATATATATATATATATATATATATATATATATATATATATATATATATATATATATATATATGCTGATAACCACAAGGAAAATAAAACAGCATATACCTGGATCATACAGTGATTTATATATATATATATATATATATATATATATATATATATATATATATATATATATATATATATATATATATATATATATATATATATATATACCTGCTGATAACCACACAGGAAAATAAAACAGCATTTTCCTGGATCACTACAGTGATTTATTTGCATATATATATATATATATATATATATATATATATATATATATATATATATATATATATATATATATATATATATATATATATATATATATATATATATATATACAGTATATATATATATATATATATATATATATATATATATATATATATATATATATATATATATATATATATATATATATATATACATTTTATGTAGATCCACAATGAAAAAGTGGATAGTATAAATCTTGATAAAATCACACAGGGAATAGGAAAACAATGAAGCACCTTAGCTTTCGTCTTTATTCAAGACATCTTCAGAGGCAACTGAATTACGTGGACAGAGAGAGGCTTAAATATACAGGGTGACCTTATTAAACATGAGGTCAGGTCATAATCATGACATCCACTAATCCGCAGACCAACACCAACACATACGTAGAGAAGCTTAAGAGAAAGGGCGACGTGACTAGTCAAGTTAAGTCAGGTAAAAAATATGGGACCCACTAAATATCTATCCTACATCTAACTCCAATACTTTAAAAGCATTTTTAACCTTGGGCCACTGACAAATAAATTTATGTAACATATTATCAGTTTTGTACTGACCATCACTAAGCTTTATTGAATTTAATTCCCTAATCAAAATAGCTTCAACCAGAAGTCTTTCTGTGACACATAATGATTTGTACACTTTAAGCTTTTTTTCCAAATCAATGGGATGATTATTACTCCTAACATGAACAAACAGTGCGATGCTTTCAGATGCTGTTCTGATATTGTACTTATGCTTTTTGATTCTGAGTTGCAATGCTTTCCCAGTCTGTCCTACATAATTTCCATTATATTTGCTACATGGAATACAATAAACACTTCCATTTACATTCAAAATTGGGCTATTCATGATTAATATATTGGTAATGGTTGAGTCATACTTAAAAACAACATTAATATTTAATAATTTAAGGGACTGAACTAACGGGACAAATTTATTGCAATAAGGCAGTCAAAATATTCTTAAGTGTAGAAATTTGCCTGATTTCAGTAGAATGAAAGGATTTTTTGACCCTTTTAAAACAATGATCAACAAACACTGAAGGGAAATAGAACGAATGTGTTTCAATTCTTCATCAATAAATTCAGCTTGTGTGTAGTTTGTCCTCAGCCCATCTCCTAGAATAAACAAACACTCACAAATCAACACAGCTAAAATTAAGGGATTCGAAATGGTCTGTTTACTAGCTATCTGCTGATGGGGGAGGGTGGTCGCGCTGGTGACATGCACCGCCCGCTATTGGTCACGACGCTGTTCTCTGCACTTTTCCTTTAACTGGCGGGCAGCAAAGATCATGTTAGTGGTGCCACGTGATGGTCTAAAACCACATTGAGATTCTGGGAGGAAGTTTTCCGCCTCAGGAAGAAGTCTGTTTAGGAGGACTCAGGCTATAATCTTGCCAGCTACGGAGAGCAGCGAGATCCCCCTGTAGTTGCCACAATCTGACCGGTCCCCTTTCTTCTTATAAATATTGGCAATGGAGGCATCTTTAAGAGCTTGGGGTATTTCCTTATTTTCCCATATATTCTCCAGGAGAGAGTGGAGATGGCTGGTAAGTAGAGGTCCTCCTGCTTTATGCACCTCGGCTGGGATTCCTTCAGGCCCTGAGGCTTTGTTAATTTTCTTCTGCTTGATGGCAGTAGCTACCTCATCCAGGGATGGAGAATAGCTGAGGTGGGTCAGCTCTACATGCTTAGAGACCTGTTTGGTAGTCAGGACACTCACATCAGTGTTTCGGTTCAGCAATGAATGGTAGTGCTCTTTTCAGCGATGAAGAAGGACTTCGTCATCTTTTATTATGTGGAGTGACAGGCCCATAAAATGTTTTAGTGAAAATGAAAAATTCCCACATCTTGTGCTGATCTGCAAGTTTTTGTGCTTCTCATGCTTTATTTTTAAGCCAGTTGTTCTTTAGAATGCATAGTTCCCACTGGACTGCCGCTTTCTTCTTGCTGAAGGTATCACCTTTGGTCCGAGACTGAGGGTTG